ATAAATGAATCTAGAAGAAATAAATAGATCCTAGAAGAAATAAATAGATCTTGAAAATAAATAGATCTAGAAGAAATAAATAGATCAAGAAAATAAATGGTCTAGAGAAGAAATAAATAGATCCTGAAGAAATAAAATAGTCTGGTTGATCGTAATAAAAAAGTTAATTGCGACCGAAATTGACTAAGAGCCGGCTTACCCACATAGCTATCGGGTCAGTTATGAAGTGTAATTACGTAAGACAGCGTGAAATATTACTATTGGGCGAACTTGGACTCCTCCCCCGGCTAACCGTCCAGCAAATTGCATACAACCAAAACCTTGCGGTTGCATGTCTTGCTGACATGTGAGCTGCAGAGAAATTGACCATTTTCTCGCTCTGCCCGTCGACGCGCAGGCCCGGCCAGCGGCACTATGCCATCCCATTTCAACAAAATAAGTTAACTTTGTCGTTATCCGGCTAAAATTTTACGCCTTTGGAGCAGTTGGGATGCGAACTTGCGCGATTACTGCAAACCACAAAACTCGGTCGGTGTTTGAGCTGAGGCCCTCACTGCTCCCCTTCGTCACAGCGGTCGGTTTTGGAGTTTCCCACTATATATAAAAAAATTTTGATCAACAATCTAAACATTTTTTTGAAATTTTTCACTTTTTCTTCAGTTTCCAAAACGAAAGTTGAGTTTTCAGTCAAAAGTGATGATGCAGGTTCTTTAGGCTCGCTTCCTTCTGCGTCGCGGCGAGATTCGACTTCGCTCTGAGCAAAGAGAGGGTTGGCACACTATTCCTTGCGTTACCAATTGATCTGCTCAGCTCGAAATGTCTCGTTCTGCGCCGCCAAGCAAAAGAGCTCGAGAGGGCGCAAGGCGGCGTCTCCCCTGGCTGGCGACGACTGGCACGTCTCAAAAAGTGAGGTTTCCAGTTTCTCGTTGACTAATTAGGGAGATATGGCCCGTATGTACGTTTATAAATGAATTTCCAGTTTTCATATCTCAAAGAGGCTCAGCAGATCGAAGTTCGCAGCTTGAACTGTTTCTTGTAAGTCAAGGACATGAGAGGAGAGAACGATCATTCTTCTAAAATCATTACTGCTAAAAGTCATTAGTTCTAAAAATCATGACTTTTAAAAAGGCCATTGCTAAAAAGTTGGTACGTCGGGTTATCAGTTTTTGGCACGTTTCGGCCATAAAAAAAAAAAAAACGACACTTAGAATATTTAGAAGTGCGACCTTGTGAAGTAGTGGTTTAAAAATCAATGACATTTTAGAGTAGTCGCTTTTAGGGTTCTGTTCTATTTCGCGTGGGGCAAAAAAACTGTGCAGGGGAAACTTTTTCTTCGTTTTGCATAACTCTTTTTATATGATGCTATTTTGAGTTGTCAATAAAACTCTTAGTATATTTTTTGACAACAATCTATCGAATGGCATTAAAGACATTTTAGAGAGTTATTGAAAATGTCGAAAACTAACACCTCCACGACTCCACGATCCCATGTGGAAAACACCGAATAAACCTTCTTTTTGCTATAACTATTTTATAAAACAATATTTTAGATGAAATTAGCCTCTTTTAGTATATTTTTTGATGCTCTATCGATTAACGGGTCTCAAAATATCGAAAAATCCTTGAAAAAAATGCCGAAAACTAGCATTCCGGAACCAGTTTCAATAGTTTTTCATGTTTTGCTATAAATTTTATATATTACAATATTTTTAGCTAAAACAACAACTCTTAGTATATTTTTGATCGCTCTATCGAATGGCGTTGCAAAGAAATGCCGAGAAAATAGCGAAAGATGGAAGGCTCCGCGAAGCATATTCCCCCGCACAGTTTTCCCCACGCGAAATAGAACAGAACCGCTTTTAGAAGTAACGGCGGGTAGTCACGCACTGACACACTAACATATACCGAGTGCACACACCCACGCCAACATTATCAGAAGAAGAAAATAAACGACCAAATCAAATGGATAGATAGACTTTGTTTGGTGCATGGGCTCTGATAACCACCAGGTCTGATCACGCCTTTTACGGGGCACCGTTTGAGGCACGCCCGTTGAAGTGGGCGAGGACGAAATTATTGAAGGTCGACCGCGACGCCTCTGATTCCACCAGCTGCACTACCCGGACAGGAATAGTAGGCGTCAATTTTATTGGGAAGAAGCTTCACATACAATTCGGTTCTCGACTATTGATGCGCGGCCAGACCAATTTTTCCTGGTCCCGAGCCATTTTATATAAATAACGGATTGGATTTTCCTGACGATACAAATGTTACAGATTTTCATCAAAAATTAGTTTGAGGTCAAAAATCGCTTTTCTCGGGCTTTTTGAGAATTTTTCTTTATATTTGTTCGGCTGTTCTAAACATGACAAAACTACCCCGGTTTCATTGCCCCTTGGTTACTGATTGAACCCAATCATCTAGTGCCAAAATTTAGTTTGTTCTAGTAGCGTTTTTCGTAGTTTGGCCTAACGAAAATTATTAGAGAAGCAGCTCCAAATCAAGTCCTTCGTAATACGCAATTTTATGCCATTAATTACAGCCGACGGCCTGTTCTCCCGCGGACGTCCAGGACGTCGCTCCAAAAAAATTCGGACCGTGTCGTCTCCTATGCAATTAAACCACGCCACCATCCAGCGTTGAGGAGCAGTACGGAGTGCAATGCCTGGTTTGTTGTCCGAATTTTTCTGTGGTCCAGAACTCCGCGGTCAAAACAAACTTAAAGATTTACGTTGAAATTTGGGCAAAAAGATCGACGATTCGTGCTCTAAAAATCTATATTTTTTTATGTCATCTAGGATGTTGTTGGGTTCGAAACTCGTGGAAAAATTTGTAAAGTTTCGACGCTCAGAATAGCAAAAACTGTTTAGAAACATGTCCTCTATTCATATTAGAAACACTGGATCCTAGGCAGGAATTTGGCCCCCCCCGATATGGCGCCATTACCCAATACAAAGTATTATATTCGAGTAATTGCAGGAAAATCGACACGAAATGCCGATCGAAAAGGGCGAGACGAACTCTGGACCCGAATTCTAATGCTCGGATGCGCCGTGTTCCCTTGTTGCCGGAAGCTACCCATTGAAGTTCGAATTTCTCGGTGTCTCAATTCGAATCTCCCAACTACTCTCTTCCTCAAAAAAAGCTGCCGAATTTCAGGAACCTGCTGTCCCCGACGATGCCAGGTGTTGCCCCGAACCACCGTCGTCAATGAAAAAAAGCACCTCGAAAATGCCGCCAAGGTATCGCCTTTCTAACTGGAAAAATTATTTCGAAAATTCGAAAAATTATCGTAGCTCTTTTTAGTTGCTGCAACCCGACGCATCTGATGACAAGGAGCGAAAGAAGCGGCTGAAGGAGGAGTCGAATAGGAGTGCTAAAAAGAAGAAGAATAAAAGGACCAGAAAGGTCAGCTGGATGAACGGAAAACAACACAAGCCGGAAAAGGTAAGAGAATGGATTACGCGAAATTGATTCATCATGGCCAGCCTCTTTTGGACTGCTTCAACTAGACGGCGTCTTTTTCACCTGTTTCTTTCAGGGCACCGACAAGAAGGCGAAGAACACGAAGAAAAGGAAGACCAAGCATAAGGTCCGGGCTGCGTGGTCGTCAGAGAAATTTACGGTATCGCGGTCCGTAACGGGTCTTGCTAGCTTGCCCTTTTAGGGTCCCGCTCCCCTGAATGACGAGGCCCGAATGGCGAACACCAACCTCGACAAGTCGGAAATGCTCGTTGAAGGACAGCCGGCCCCCAGCTACGACGAGGTAATTTTTGCATTTCTAATAAAACTTGTAAGGCCCCGATGTTTGGAAGATGTAAAAAAACAGTTTAAAATACGCCCTCGATTTACATTGATAAAATCGGAGCCTAAGGAGAAAAGCGGCGAAACGAACGAAACGAAAATTAAACTGCAACGGCCTGAAAAATTAACAAAAATATGGCGTTTTGGGGTACTTGAAACCCAAATTTGACGAAATTTACGACGCTTTGGCATTATCGGTGTAAACTGTCGTATCAGTGTCTGGTTTTTCTAATATAAATAGAGTGATTGTTTCTCAACTGTTTTTTTACTGTTCATCAACTATAATAAAAAAGTAGTGGTGTCTGTCCGTCCGTCATGTCCCGGATTCAACTCGAAGGGGAAAGGAGCTAGAGCTTAGGTCTCTTCGGATTCGGATAGAGCGCGCTTCGCCCCTCTTCCCCAGGCCCCTTCCCGCGCCCAAATAGCTTTTTAAGTTACTTTAATACTTTTTAATTATGTTAATTTATTATTTAAATCATTTAAAGTATCGGGATGGAATCTAAGTAGTTTTTGAAGGGGATTACGGCTATGGGGGGTATCTGAAGCCATCAGGAAGGTATTTTGGTAGTTTTTTCAGGGGGTTTCGGCTATGGGGGTATCTGAAGTCATCAGGAAGGTATTTTGGTAGTTTTTTAAGGGGGTTTCGGCTATGGGGGGTATCCGAAGCCATCCGTGTAGGTATTGCCATGAAGGCATCAGCGTAAGGTAGGGATGAAATGTGGTGGGGTAGAATATGGAGGGTAGCCCGAAGTCCAGCCGATTACAGTCGCGAAGCGCCTGTAATCGGCTGGTAAACATTGAAATCATTACACTTTTTCATTATCATGTTTGGACCCAAATTTCCCAGAAATTTTCCAAAGTTTCAAACTTTTTGTGCTTGAAATTTTAATAAGCTTGGCCAAAACACTATTGCGATACTTAATGTTGCTTTACGAAGCATTTTTGGACTTCTAGGAAAAAGGTTGGGCCTGCCCTCCTACGATTTTGCGAAAGCACTAGCTTTCCACAAATGTTATTATTATTTGATGGCTTCCTAGAAATCAAAAACTACTAAATACTGTAAATTGATCGGCGGTAAAATATCAATTAGCTCCCCGGCCACCACAAACGGGTAGCATCGCAAAAGTCGGGGGCGGGCACGCAAGCGTATTGCAAACGTACTGCGGCGAAAAACTGCATCTACATTTTAGGCGTGCATGATCGAAAATCCGGATGGGCGCGTGCAAGCTGCAGGAGATGCTGCCCGCCGGAAGAAAGACTACGACAAAGTACGGTTAACCTTTGAAATTGAAAGGAATTGGGGTTCTGTCGCACTATCGGAACGGGGGGATCTTTTTCGGGGGTTCTTTTTGGTCGAAGATATGGCCATCTTTGGTGGAAAAAGGTTTTTTTAGATTCTTTCGCATTATCGGGGGGAGGGAGACCGAATTTTTTTTTGTTGGAGTCTAGCTAGACATGCCTAATAAGTTAAGACAGTGTTTTGATGGGGTTTTTTATTACTAGATAACATATTTAAACTAGTAAAAATATCTTACAACTTTTTAAAATGTTGAAAAGTCGACAAACATCGGCCTTTTTGGTCGAAAAATCGCTCTTTTTGATGCTTTTTAAGAAAAATTGGTAAAGTTTTCACGTTTATGAATAGTAAAAAAGCCATTTAGAAACACCTCCATCATTCATATTTGAAAAATGAGATTCGAAGAAAAAAGTTGGTTCCTCCGCCGGAAATGCGAACGAATTTTTTTTGTATTTTTTAATAAAATTGGATTCTTAGGAAAATTTGGTTCCCGCCGCTAGAGGGAAAGAACCGTTCTGGCGCACAGGGAACGCGGAACGCAATTTTCTGGTTACTCCCCGGTACAACACCACTTCAGAAGACTCGTCGTGCGATTCGTGAGGGTCGATACCTTGGAATGCATGGCCGCGTTTCGAAAGAAGAACTTGAAGAGGTAGCAATTTTTTTACTACTAAATGAAATCCAACAGATTATCGAATCCAATATATGGAAGGCGCGGTTTGAACCTGTTTATGAGCCGCGACCAGGGTTGAAAAACGCGACGCGGTTTTTCAACCTTGGTGTATTCTGAGCCACTTTGCTAAAATGGTATTTTAGCCGCTCTGTCGCGACCCGCAGCATGTCGTTGTTCAGCCGGTAAGCGATTCTCGACGGGTCACGAACTCCAATACCTGCTTGGGCACACTTTACTTTGTAGAAGATCGCCGACCCGCCCGCCCGGACGGACAACAACGCATCCGCAGCTCCCACGTCTCCAGGAATCCGCACCGCTGTATGTCAATTCATAATGCCGAATTTCATTACCTCGAATAATCATCACGTCGAAAGTAACAATTCGGACATTTGGTTTTTGCGCAATATCGGGGGCCGGCCAACTTTTTTTTCCATAAGCCCGGAAATGACTAATGACTCAAAGGGAGATTCCGCGGCTAAATTTGCTTATACGGTCACCTACTCAAAACCCAACTCTTGATATGTCAAAATGCTCAGCAGGACGAGCTGGTGCGAGATCCGTTGAGAAAACCTGGCGGCTAAAGCACTAGTTCGAGATACATGACTTCGAAGTGCAAGATTCTGACTTCGAAAACTCGGTTTTCGTTGATCGATAAGATAAATAACGTTTCGACACAGGCTTAGCTTTACTCAACACACCCAGTTTGAGCCTAAAAAAAGGCTTCGTGCCACCCAGGGCCTAGTCGCTTCGGATGGGCGCGAGCTCGTACAGGGTTCCGAAATGGGGGCGCCAAGGCCGGCGTAGCGGCCGGGGGCGCGATATCTCGAGATAGGGCTTTTGCCGCCAGGTTTTCTCAAAGGATCTCTCTTTGTAGTGTAGTTTCCCCATTCCCGCCTGTATGGTCAAGTGGTGCATATCAAAATGTGCATCAAGTCGTGCTCTTCAGGATGGTATTTCTTAAATTTTGAAACTCTCGAAGGGCATCATAAGGGGGAGGGGGGGTGAAAATGACGACAGAACTTTAAATGCTCATAAATTTTTGTATTTAGCGTTTAGCACATTCAGACAAGATATTCAGAATCCCCGTCGGCAACCTTATTTGTTTCACATCGAATGATCCACAAATTGGTGCTAAGCGATTTGCCAGGACCCATATTTGCACTACCCTGGTGGGGGGGCGGCGTTGGGGTGGACGTAAACCGTTGCCCCTAATTTTTCCTGAAGCTCAATTTACCTTTACAGTCGCCTATCGATCCGAGCCAGAAAGTCGCCGGGCTGCTCGACACCATATTGTAGTGCAGGACGTGGGTTTCATTTTAAAAGGACAGGCAATTTCAACCGATTTTCTATTAAAAAAACAGTTAGGAACACTTACAATATTTGTATTTCAAAAATTCGATCCTAAAAGGAGTTGATTAAATTTGATCCTAAGAAAAAAAAGTCCCAGTCCGGGAGCGGCTCTCTATCCATTTTTTTACAGGGCCCTGCAACTGGTGCCAATTTGAGGAGTGGGTGTCGATGGGATTCCGTTCCAAGCTGCCGGCTGCCGACGATTGACCGATCATCGACCGATTCATGAATTTTATCGGCTGACTATTGACTACGTATTGATGTTCTGGTGATTGTGTTTTGTGGGTGTATTGTGTTTTTCGTTACTGATTCTGTCATTCCTATGAATGTCTCAAATAAATCTATTTATTAGAGTTTGAGTTGAAGTTATTGCCGAAAAGACGAAATAAACAGAAGCAGCATCAAGAAGCGCAGAATTCAAGCGCGTAATAGAAGAACCATTTCGGAAGAAGAGAGGGCCAGCCAGCAGAGACCATTTGGGAAGGAGAGAGGGCCAGCTAGCAGAGACCATTTGGGAAGGAGAGGGGCCAGCTAGCAGAGACCATTTGGGAAGGAGGGAGGGCCAGCTAGCAGAGACCATTTGGGAAGGAGGGAGGGCCAGCTAGCAGAGACCATTTGGGAAGGAGGGAGGGCCAGCTAGCAGAGACCATTTGGGAAGGAGAGAGGGCCAGCTAGCAGAGACCATTTGGGAAGGCGAGAGGGCGAGCTAGCAGAGACCATTTGGGAAGGAGAGAGGGCCAGCTAGCAGAGACCATTTGGGAAGGAGAGAGGGCCAGCTAGCAGAGACCATTTGGGAAGGAGGTAGGGCCAGCTAACAGAGACCATTTGGGAAGGAGGTAGGGCCAGCTAGCAGAGACCATTTGGGAAGGAGGTAGGGCCAGCTAGCAGAGACCATTTGGGAAGGAGGTAGGGCCAGCTAGCAGAGACCATTTGGGAAGGAGGTAGGGCCAGCTAGCAGAGACCATTTGGGAAGGAGAGAGGGCCAGCTAGCAGAGACCATTTGGGAAGGAGGTAGGGCCAGCTAGCAGAGACCATTTGGGAAGGAGGTAGGGCCAGCTAGCAGAGACCATTTGGGAAGGAGAGAGGGCCAGCTAGCAGAACCCATTTGGGAAGGCGAGAGGGCGAGCTAGCAGAGACCATTTGGGAAGGAGGTAGGGCCAGCTAGCAGAGACCATTTGGGAAGGAGGTAGGGCCAGCTAGCAGAGACCATTTGGGAAGGAGAGAGGGCCAGCTAGCAGAACCCATTTGGGAAGGAGGTAGGGCCAGCTAGCAGAGACCATTTGGGAAGGAGGTAGGGCCAGCTAGCAGAGGCCATTTGGGAAGGAGGTAGGGCCAGCTAGCAGAGACCATTTGGGAAGGCGAGAGGGCGAGCTAGCAGAGACCATTTGGGAAGGAGAGAGGGCCAGCTAGCAGAGACCATTTGGGAAGGAGGTAGGGCCAGCTAGCAGAGACCATTTGGGAAGGAGGTAGGGCCAGCTAGCGGAGACCATTTGGGAAGGAGGTAGGGCCAGCTAGCAGAGACCATTTGGGAAGGAGGTAGGGCCAGCTAGCAGAGGCCATTTGGGAAGGAGGTAGGGCCAGCTAGCAGAGACCATTTGGGAAGGAGAGAGGGCCAGCTAGCAGAACCCATTTGGGAAGGCGAGAGGGCGAGCTAGCAGAGACCATTTGGGAAGGAGAGAGGGCCAGCTAGCAGAGACCATTTGGGAAGGAGGTAGGGCCAGCTAGCAGAGACCATTTGGGAAGGAGGTAGGGCCAGCTAGCGGAGACCATTTGGGAAGGAGGTAGGGCCAGCTAGCAGAGACCATTTGGGAAGGCGAGAGGGCCAGCTAGCAGAGATCATTTGGGAAGGAGAGAGGGCCAGCTAGCGGAGACCATTTGGGAAGGCGAGAGGGCCAGCTAGCAGAGATCATTTGGGAAGGAGAGAGGGCCAGCTAGCAGAGATCATTTGGGAAGGAGAGAGGGCCAGCTAGCAGAGATCATTTGGGAAGGAGAGAGGTCCAGCTCGCGGAGACCATTTGGGAAGGCGAGAGGGCCAGCTAGCAGAGATCATTTGGGAAGGAGAGAGGGCCAGCTAGCAGCAGCTGCCCAACGTGTTTTAGCTCTTGAGCAGCTTTGACCAGGGGCTGCTAGCGCGGTTAGAAAAAGACGTCTCGAAATCGTCCGCCGTGTTCAACAACCTCGAAGAAATGCTAACAAACGACCCCCAAATGAGTTGCAATCGGATTGGCGCCGAGTTGTGCGAACTGTTCGAAAATGAGGTTCATCTCCTGATTCGATCAAAATAGCCTACTTGCTATATTGCTATGGCGATTCCAACGCTCTTGTCAGAATCTCTGTAAATTATCATTTTCCGGAAGTGTTGTATCTCTGTCCAGAGGCTCATTAAGGAAATTCTGACTAGAGCGTTGGAATCGCCATAGTCGAAAACCTAGGGGTAGCCGCGAGCGTTTTTCGAAATTCCACCGTGCCAACTTGAGGTTCCCTTGTAAGTTGAGAATTTTAGAAGGTGGCCATGGTCAACATCTCTTTTTTTCCTTTTTTTCCACAACAAGAATCCACCTACATAGAAAAGAGCCTTCGCTTCATAAGCAACGAAGCTCAATGTTTCATCTACCGTACCCCCGTCCGATATGACACTTGTTCCTGTAGCGCATATTCTACCGTACCCCCCGATATGACACTTGTTCCTGTAGCGCGTATCTCAATGCGATCATGCATTTTATAATTTTAGAAGGTGCCCATGGCCAACATCATCAGTTTTCCACAACAAGAATCCACCTAGAAAAGAGCTTTCGCTTCAGAAGCAACGACGCTCAAATCTTTCACATTGCCGAAAAAATGTTTCACAAAAATAAATGAACCTCCCGGTTAACTAGATAAACAATTCAAAGGGGTTAGTACGTACAATTAAAAATCTATCAAAAATCAAGCGCGGCATTCTGATGGGAGGACTTTTGGAATTTATTCTTTTGGAATTCTAATATACCCCCACAAACATTTTTCGAAGTTGATGTTAAAAAATAAAAGATGCCAAAAACGTTTCTGTTTTAGGGATTGTAGGAAACCAGCCGATTACAGCCGCTTCGCGACTATTAGAGATTAGATTCAATTAGAATTAGCTTCAAACTTTACCACATACCCTAAAATCGGCAAAATGCTGGACCTGGTCATTTCCACGCCTGGCCTTGTCAACTCTTGCACCGCGCATACACCATTTCTAAATTGCGATCACCTAGCTACGACTTTCTATGTAGAAATAGAAACCCCTCAACATATTTCTGGCAACGCTAGCTTCTGGCCTCTTTTTAGGACCATCGCCTATTAAGGAAACGCAGTCGATTAAGGATCTCGGAGTGACCTACGACAATAAGCTGAAATTTAAACAACATATTTCGCATATACGACTCAGCGCATCACGAATCTCGTACCTTTTAATCAAACGCATCCAGGTCCCAAACGTAGCAACATATAGACGTGCTTTCTGCACTTTAGTTAGGCCAATTTTGGAATATGCCAGTGAGGTCTGGTCCCCGGTTCAGAAGTGCCAAATCAACGAGTTAGAAAGCGTTCAGCGCAAGTTTACTCGTTTCGCTTTACTGAAACTCTTCCCAAATTCAACACCCCCTCCTTATGCAGACCGACTCGAAATTTTCTCACTTCCCACCCTAGAACAACGTAGGATAGAAGCCGACCTGGCAACTTGCTATAAGTCTCTATTTCTGCCAAATTTTCCCTGTAAGCTGTTCCAACTACCAGATCGTCCTCCCCAAAATGCACATCCTTTTCAAATCAGACGGACCCAAAGCGTCCAAGGTTTCTCCCGCGCTTTTTTCTCACGTAGGATCGTAAAGCTTTGCGAAAATCTATGGGAAACAGAACCCATAACCCCACCTTGCCCGCACCTATAAGGGAAGTTCTGTTTTTTACCGAGGAATTCTGTGTCCAAACTCTGGTCACCATTCTTTCAGGCCACCCTGAAAAAGGGTATCGCAACAAGAAATAACCCCCTCTGACTCTCAGAAGTCTTTTAATTGCCTTTTGACTAAACCGTAACTGGATTTCCTGCCGAAAAGCCATATCAACTTTTTTTTTTTGAAAAACGATATTTGTATGAGTAATAGAAACAAGTTTATGGCTTTTCCAAAACAGCAGCATATAACTTTCAGAAATGAACTAAAAATGAATGAAAAATACGCATTCGGAATCAGTGGAGAATCCTGTACACAAAGTGTCAAAGTGTGTTGTTTGTTATCACGCGCAAATGTTTCATCTACCGTACGCCCCCCCCCCCGGTTTACCGGTTTATTTTCACAATTTATTCTTTAGAAACAGGGCTGGGCAGATATACAGATACAATCTAAACGCCATTTCGGGCTGGTTCTTCCGCTTTAGGTCTGCTTGGGCGCGGCGCGTTTCACGTTTTTTTCGGCTTGAAGCCTCGCTCGCGTCACTGTCAAATACAGCTGCAAATAATGTCATACACACAGGTTATATGGTAAAACTTTGGGAACTTCCGGCAGGGCGGGAAAGAAATGTCTCACAGCTTAACTTGTGCAAAATTTTACGCTGATTATCCCTAGGTTTTTTAAATTACGTCCATTTTCGTAAATTTTGCAACCAGGAAATTCCATTTGGGCCGCAATAATGTTTCAAAAAAATTCGTATTCCAGCGGAGGCTATCAGCCAGAATAAGCCACAATCGCATATCCCTATGTATATGAACTGAAGTCTGTCTTACTGTCGCTCTTTTTTTGTTCACTTTGGGATTTCGATCCTGCTTTTTGGAAACGCCGCAAACTTATTTTTATTACTCATAGAAATCTAGATTTTCAGCAAAATTTGAATGTGAAAAAATTAGACATGGATTTTCGGCAGAAAATATGGTTACGTTTGAGTAAAGGCGTTTTAGCTGAATTTTTCCTGAGCCCTAACAGCAGCAAAGC